GGGTTACATCCACAGAGAAGAAGGAGGAGGGGTGAGGGGATAGGGGGTTCCTGGGTGGGTGGGGGATGGGGTAAGGGGACAACATATGAAATGTAAATAAAACATCCAATAAAAAAAAGAAAAGAAAATACCTCTATACAATCCTTGAAATACAGAATTTGAAATGTGAATAAAATAAAAGGAACTTACACTACCATCATGGTGAGACTGTGATTTCTAAAACAGTGACCAACAAGCTTAGTTCTAGTGTTAATTTACACAGAACTGATTTATATCTCCTAAGAGAAACCATTCCAAAATACATTAGATACTACAGAATATTTTGTGGTCTAGAATGTTCTCTCCTTCAAAATGGCTTAACCTTTCAGAATAACCATCAATCTCATTTTGAGATTGAAAAATTGAGGCTTAAGAAAATTTGGTTTACATAAAATCTCTCTGCTTTAAAATAATAAGAGTGGGAATCCAGAACCAACCTTGTTATGGTCATTTTGGACATCCCATACTTCCTCCATGGGACATGCATTATTTTAACATGAAAAATCTCCTTCAATGTTTCTTCATGAGTCCCTGTTAAATTACCCATCTTTATGAACTGAATCGCTATCACATCTCCCAGCTCTCTTAATACTCTTCACGGGGTTTCTTAAGACTTATACCCTCCATGCCCCACACAGTTAAAATTCTTTCTATTCTTTTTATTTCACCACAGGTTATCAAGTCAAACATTTCTTGGCTGTGACAAAATCCCCAAGGTTTCAGTTCAGCATAGAATTCGATTGGTGAAAGAGCCAATCAGATCACATAGTGATAGCCAGGAAGCAGAGGAAAAAGTCAACAGGAGGTTATTTATCCCCTCACTTCCACTCTTTTTATTTCATCCAGGCCATCAGCTTGTGGGATGATGCCATCCACAATCAGGGAAGGTCTACTAATATTTGTGGATTATCCTGGGGTTATCTTCACAGATGCTAGCTAAAGAAAATGATGGGAAGCAGAAAATGTGTTATGGCTAAGTCATGTTCTTGGGTCTAAGAAGGCAAGGGCAGCATGCACTATGGTGGCACTGGAAACCAATAATTGATATGAAAAAATCAAAAGAGTTTGAAAGAATTGGTCGAGTCACTAAAGGAAGCATGAGTTAGTGGGAGGGAAAGGCACACTTTGGGAAGTCGTGGCACAATACTAGGGATCTTCATGAACTGATCTTGTTTAGCCTGATATGTAGATATTTTCCTAACCCTGCTGAGAAACTGGGTTCAGAAGCCTTCATGTTGAAGTCTAATAATTGAGAAGCACTGTTGAAAGACATACCATTTCCCTTCATAGACCTGTCATTGTCCTCACTGTGGGAAGCAGCTGAGTTGGTTTTTATTCCTTCCTGCCATATAATACTCCCTTAGATTCTAAAATGTGTTTAACTAGACCCCCTATAGACTTCCTCCTATAGACTTGTGTTCAGCATTAAAAAGTACCCTAATGGCCTGGTAAGTCCCTAGCAGGCACTTACATTCATTTTAAAGATTTCTAGACAAAGAGGAGGGCACTGAGACAGGTGGAGGGATCTCAATGTTGAGTGCATATTTCAATGCCCATTTAGAGTAAATTAAAAATGGGAAATTCAATCTAAATGCATGAATACTAGAGAACCATATACCTCCTTACGTGTTTGTTCCCTATTTCAATCTTTGACAATTTGCTGTCATTTCTAGGGCACCATGGTTCTAACCAACCTGACTGCACTGCACAGGGACCCGAGAGAGTGGGCCACCCCAGACACCTTCAATCCAGAGCACTTTTTGGAGAATGGACAGTTTAAGAAGAGAGACTCCTTTCTGCCATTCTCAATGGGTGAGTTGTGATGAACAGAAGTGAGTTCAGTGCTTTATCTCAGCCCCTCCCTCTTTTTGTCTCCAGATGGTCAAATTTCTATCTCTTTTGATTTTCCTTACAATCTTGCATTCCCTGGACCTGCTACTTCTTCAGACCCAGCCTAATCCTCACCCTTCCTTGCCTCTGCTGGAGATTCCAGCTTTCATCATTCTGTTTTCCAAGACACTAATGATAGAAACCCATACTCTGGATCTGCTTCAGTAATGTGAATATATGTCATGTTCATAAGGTTTTTCAATGTCCCAAGTTATTTTTAAGAGATGCACTTACAGAAAGAAATGGAGTAGATTTGTAACAAGAGCAAACAAAAGTATCAGAGATAAGGACATTCCCCCTGTTACAACTCTCACAAAAATAACAAAGTAATACCTATAATATGTATGCAGAGAACCTGGTATAGAAACCATGCAGACCTTGTGTTTGCCATTTTAGTCTCTGTGAGCTTATGTGAGTTCCTACTTAGCTGATTCAGTAGGACATGTTTTCCTTGTATAATCCATCCCTTCTGACTTCTACACTGTTTCTTCCCCCTCTTTCATGGGATTCTGGGATTTGTGAGGGGAGAGACCCAACTGAGACATCTAATTTAGACTATGTCTCTCTGCATAATGTTGGGCTGTGAGTCTCTGCACCCAATCCCATATGGTGCCAGAGGAAGCCTCTCTATGACACCTGGATGAGGCCCTGATCTATGAGTACAGCAGGATATCATTAGGAATCCTTTCATTGATTTTCTTTCTTTTTTTTTTTCTCAGTTTTGTTTGGTTTTACTCTAGGTCTCTTTCAATTTATGAGTCAGATCAATGAAATGTGAAAAGTGTAGAGTTATATCCCCTTTTACATTTCAAATAAATATGTTGTGTGATATGTCTTGAGATGGATGAGAGGAATGTGAGCAGATCCACATCCATGGCTTCCACAAGATGGTCCTCCAGGACCATTGCTGCCCATATGTATGCCAATGTATATGAACTACAAACAAATTGTAAGTGGTCTCCATAGTTCTGAACACTTCTAGTATAAGATTCGCTGACTTCGTATCCCGTATATCAGGTAGAATCTTGATGCACAACAAACATCTCAAAATATAGCCTTTCATAAGAACCTGTTCTTGCTCACTGGTTCCTAGATAGTTTGGGGGCTTGGCTCTTCTTTGTTTGCTTTCCGGCTGACAGCTGGTCTATGATGACCTCAGTGGAAGGGCAGAGTTCTCATATCACCTCCCACCCTCTAGTAAGCCAGTTTTCTGTTCATATGGTGGTTATCATGTCCTGACTGAGAGGACTGAAGCACAGAGGCCTGGTTAGGCCCAGTTTTAAAAGGTCTTCTGTATTTTGGTGACAAGTCAAAAAGCCAGCCATAATTAGAGGGAAGGGAAATTATTTCAGCCTTTGTTTGGAATCACATAAAAGTCACAGTGGACAAAATGTGGACACAAGGGTAGAGGACGATTGTCCCTGTTTTATTGTCATCATCTCAATTTCTGATAGAGAAAAGTAAAATGAATTTGCCTAGGGATGCTCAATGAGAATGAGTTAAACTGAGCATGATGGACAAACCTGAAAAAAAACTGCTCAATTAACAAAGCAAAGTGAATTTTTTAATCGCTCTGATTTTTTTCCCATCCTGCTCCCTGTTCTTGCCATTTCTAGAAGATTTAAAAGAAGCCACCTGGGGAAAGTGGGGTGTATATCAAAGATGCTCCTCTCTGGGAAAAGTTAACTAGAAGTAAAAAGATTTTCTGTGCCTCATCACTGAAGATGAAAAGCTATATTTACATGAAAGTGTATATTTATACCTTCTTCTGAGTGAGTCAACAAACTTAACAGTTTCAACATAGGAAAGCTTGACAGATTCTTTATTAACAAGTGATGTTATAGAGCATAAGAACTGGGTTCATAAAATTGGTTAGGGCCTATTTCCGTCCTCTTATTTCACTCAATAAGTCAATTTTCTGGTTGTTTTTGTTGCTGTTGTTGCTGCTTTTGTTTTCTGAATTCAAAAGGGTCAAGTGCACTTTACCCCATATTGTTTGTCAGTTTTCACCTCACTGAAACAATATCTGAGAGGAACAACTTCATTGGAGGAAGCTTTGTTTGGCTTATGTTTTTTTAGTTCTCAGTCTGTAGACACTGGACCTATGCCTGAAATGAGACAACATTTGTTAGAAGTGTATGGCTGAATAACATGAGTACCTCATGGGGGCCAGGAAGCAAGAAAAGGAAGCAACTACATTAAAAAAAAATCCCATCAAGAGCATGGCTCACATGATCAAGCTTAGGCATATATTTAATTTTCTTCCACTTCTTAGTGGTGTGTCAACTGGCAACTAAGATTGTAGTTCAGTGCACCTGCTGATAAATGAAGAAACAAAAAGTAAACAACATACATTCAAACTATAGGACCTAGGTGAATATTGGAATACCATTCAAGTTTCTAAGTTGAGTTACTATAGTCTTCAGAGTAGCATGTGCATGTGCATGCATCCACATGTACACACACACACTCACACACACACAGCACTGACAGTATATTCTTGAAGTGATGTGCCCTTTACTGATCTGGCGAGATCTTGTGAACTCCTCCATCATAAAGGAGGAGGTTATTGTAAATCATTCCACTTTTCTAATCGTCCTCAGTCTTTGAATCCCTTCATCCACAGTAAATCAAGAGATGTTAGGCCTCTCAAGCTCACTAAAAGTAGACTATCTCTGAGGTACATGTCATATGTCCTATCAAGTAAGTCAGCTCCACCTTTGTTAATCCTGTGAAGTGTAGTCATTAAATGTATCCTGGGAAAATTAGAGAAATCATGTCTCAAAATAAAAAGGTTAAAAGAGAGACAGTGGTTGTTCAATTAAGGTACACTTTCTAGAATATGCAACACCCTAGTCTCAGCACCTACTTGAAAGAGAGAGACAGAGACAGAGGAGAGAGAGGAGAGAGAGAGAGAGAGAGAGAGAGAGAGAGAGAGAGAGAGAGAGAGAGAATCAGAGACAGAGCAGAGACAGAGACGGAGACAGAGAGACAGAGAGGCAGAGAGAATGTGTGCAAGTGATGATGGGGAGACAAGAAAAGAGAAAAGGACAAAAAGGGAAAGGAAAAGATGAAATAAAGAAAAAGAAGTTATGCTTCTCTAGTATGAACTCTGACATAAGCCTCCACACTGGTTTGTATTGTCAAGGGACAGACTTGGTGCACTGTACATGTTATATTATTAGTATAATTTATCCAGTCAGTGGAGAGATGAAATAATTGGAAAACAATGGCTGCTCATAAGATCTCTTCCCCAGCACCAGTCTATACATCTCAGTTAATGTCTACTTAGAACAGCCAATCTGAAAACTTAGGCTTTGCTTTGAATTTTATATTAGTATATTTTATCACTCTAAATGTATTGTAGAAAAAAGGGAAGCTAATGACAAGTCACTTAAGATAGCTGACATGGTAGTTCAACTTGTCACTTACTACCCCTGTGAGCATAATGTCCTGATTTGATCCCCATAATTCCTACTAAAAGCTGAGTATGCCAGCATATGCTTGTACTCCTCCTGTTAGATGACCTGAGAGAGGACCGGTGGCCAGCCAGCCTACACTGCTTTGTAAAGACTCAAAAAGACCCAATCTCAAAAATGTGAGTGTGTGTGTGTGTGTGTGTGTGTGTGTGTGTGTGTGTGTGTGTGTGTAATGGTAATGGGTGACATTAGGGTATCAGGACCTATATCTGGACTTTGACTTCTACATGCATGTACATACATGTGTACACACAATGAGCATACAGGTGCACAAAGAAATCCACACAAACAAGGGCTTAATGATGAGTTAGAGATGTGAGAATGCTGCAGTGCTGCTGGGATGCATGGTGAGAATGTTCAGTGAAGAAGAGACTAGAGGAGTACTAGGGTTACTAGTGATCACCAGAGATCACACATCTAAACCCAGATATTCCGTATAGAGTCTGGCAAGTAGATTTGTGCAGAAATGGAAGTGGACACAAATGCTTATGTCTTTATACCCACTGTGTGTATGGTGTGAGGTAACCTAGATCAACTCCCAGAGTTGAAAGAATGCCTACTGCCCCAGTTTCACCTTTACATATCATTATTAAATGCACAGAACCAGGACACTTGAGAAAATGACATTTTCCAGGGTGGCAAAGTGAAAACATAAAAGTCTGGAATATATTCTTATGCCAAAGGTCATATGTGATTCAAAAATCATTGAAGCAGCCTCTAATTACCAAATCATAAAGATGTGAGATGTAATCACCATCAAAATGCCCGGGATCATCTCAGAATTTGAGGTATGATGGTGGGAACACTAGGTTCTTCATGTACCAAAGTCAGCTGAGTGATTCATCTGTTTTTTTTTCTCCCACAGGAAAGAGAGCTTGTCTTGGAGAACAACTGGCTAGATCTGAGCTGTTCATTTTCTTCACTACTCTCGTGCAAAAATTTACCTTCAAGCCTCCAATCAATGAGAAGCTGAGCCTGACTTTCAGAAATGGCCTCACACTTTCTCCAATCAGCCACCGCATCTGTGCTGTCCCTAGAGAGTGATGCTCGAGAAGTAAAAAGAAAAGGAAGATATGGTGCATGCCCTGAAGCTTCTGGGCTTGCTCATATGAGAGGATAAAGTTGTCACAGAAGGAAGGTTATTCAATAATTATTGAAGAAATTTTGCTTAGAAAATTGAAGCAAACTCCTAAAAAGTTGTCCCCTTGATTTGGTGGTGGGCACATCATTTATGAGATTAGTGACATGCCTTTTAATCTATAAATTTTGAGGAGAATGGTGATTCTTCCTATAAAGAGGGTACATTAAATTTAATTTAAAATGGATTCCACATCAAAATTAAAAGAATAATTATTATCTAAAAAGTAAACATTCCAGGTTCATCATGAATCATTATCTTGACTGGGGTACCATCAGTTTGCCTCATTCCTTCTTTCATGCACTTTTGTTCGCATCTGGAACATTGAAATGTTAGTCTGAAGTGATGCAAAGAGGGAATAAGAAGCAGAACTGAGCTTCTTATTGCATCCACAGAAACAAGTTATTGAGACTCTCCCAGAAGACAGATCTGTCACTAACTTCTGTAGATCTATGTCTAAAGAGATCTGGAAACCAGTAGAGAGGATGTTTCCTTACTCATAGGCAGACAGAACAAGTGAAGGTATAAATTCAGTTGCTTGTATATTTTAAATTTTTATTGTTCTTTAAAGAATTTTATATCATGTATCCCAATCCAAATTACTTCCCCACCACCTCATATCTTCCACCCTTGCAACCTCTGGCCAAATAGAGAATAAAATATATCATTGAGGATGTGGAACGTGTCAGTTTGTCCAAAGGTTACTCTACAGAACTGCTACATTGCAAATACTGAAACCTTATTGGGACTCCTCAAGGGTATTCTTTTGTTATCCTGTGTCTTGGAGATTCTGTAGTTTTGGATGAGTAAGACTAGCCTTATTAGATACTACATGGATCGGATAGTTTTGAGATGGGCCAATTCAAAGTCCTGGATCTGGCCCTGAGAGGTATCTAAGTTGGTCAGCTCTCCAGCACTCACACCTTCTGTGCAAGCCCTCCTGCCCTGCCCTATCTGGCCTGTCCAATGCCACAGCCAGTAAGGGGAAGAGCCAACTTTTCTACTTTCATGCCTTTGAGGTCTGGTTCATATGTGCCCACACCATCAGTTTCAGTTCTTCTGTGCTTCCTAGGGAAGGTACAGGGTTGCTCTCCCGAGTGTTACAGAAGGAGAGGGGAAGGATCATTTCTTTGATACATTTGAAACCCAGGGCCAGCTCTCCCATGTGTGATCAGTATCCAAAACACATTCCTTTACATGTTGTAACTTGACCTAAAACCTATGGTTATGTAATCATATCGCTTGAAAGAGCATAGCACTACCCAATGTGATCAAAAGTGGTACAGAAACAGACACGCTGTTCATTGGAATAGAATTGATGATCCAGAAATAAAACCACAAACTGAAAGACACTTGATCTTTGATAAAGATGCCAAAAATATACAATGGAAAACAGAAAGCATCTTTAGTAAATGATGCTGGTCTAACTGGATGTCTGTGTGTAGAAAAATGAAAATAGATCCATATTTGTCACCTTCCACAAAGTTCAAGTCCAAGTGGATCAAGGATCTAAACATAAAACCAGAAACACTGATTCTAATAGAAGAGAGAGTGGGAAAGAGCCTTGAACTCATTGGCACAGGGGGAAGTTTCCTAAATAGAACTCTAATGGCTCATCCTCTAAGATCAAGAATTGATAAATGGGACTTCATGAAACTGGAAAGCTTCTGTAACACAAAGGACATAGTCAATAAGACAAATCAGCAATTTATAGATTATGAAAATTTTTTCACTAACCTCACATTTGATAGAGGGCTAATATCCAAAATATATAAAGAACTCAAGAAGCTAACCACCAAAAAGCCAAACAACACCATCAAAATATGGGGTATAGAGTTAAACTGACAATTTTCAACAGAGTAATCTTGAATGGCTTAGAAATACCTAAAGAAAATTTCGAAGCCCTTAGTAATCAGAGAAATGCAAATGTAAAGGACCCTGAAATTCCATCTTACACCAATCAGAATGGCTAAGATCAAATCTTGAGGTGACTACACATGTTGACCAGGATATGAAGAAAGAGGAACACTCCTCCATTGCTGGTGGGATTCCAAACTGGTGCAACCACTCTGGAAATAAATCTGGAGACTTGTCAGAATTTTGGAAATATATCTACATGAAGATCCAGCAGTATCACTCTTGTGAATATACCCAAAAGATGCCCCACCATGCCACAGGGGCATATGGTCCACTATGTTTATAGCAGCTCTATTTGTGATAGCCAGAAGCTGGAAACAACCCAGATGTCTCGCAACAAAAGAATGATTAGAGAAAATGTTGTTCATTTACACAATTCAATACTACTCAGCTATTAAGAATGAGGATACCTAGATTTTGCAAGCAAATGGATGGAACTAGAAAATATCATCCTGAGAGAGATAACTCAGACCCAAAAGGACATTATTGGTATGTACTCACTAATAAGGTAGTATTAGAAAATTTTAAAAAAAAGTACAGAATACCCAAGATAAAGTCCACAGAACCCAAAAAGTTCAACAAGCTGAAGATTCCAAGTGAATGCACCTAAGTACCACTTGAGAGGGAGAAGAAAGAGATCATAAGTGGGGAGAGAGGGAGTGACCTCAGAGGAAAAGTGGACTGGTGGTGGCTGGGGGTGAGGGAGAATCAGATCTGGTATTAGGTGAGAGAAAAGGACCAAAGCCCTGAGGGTCAGAAGAAAGAATGGAGCAGGCAACCTGCAGAAGTAAGAGGTTGGAGTTACCCCCCACCCATCCCCAGAATACACCAGAGACCTGGGAGGTGAGAGACTCTCAGGACTCAAAGGGAGAGAACTTAGATGAAATGCCCAACACTAGGACAGTAGGGAGAGGGAACTTACTTGGGGCCACCTTCAGCAGGAAGACAAGGCATCAAGTGAGGGAGGGGGCTGCCATCCCACAGTCAACTCTGACCCATAATTGTTCCCATCTGAAAGAACAGATAGAAATGGAGATAAGCCTGAGAAGAAGGTCCAGCAAGAGGCCCAAAGTGGGATCCGGCTCAAGTGGGGGTCCTAAGGCCTGACACTATTACTGAAGCTATGGAGCGCTCATAAAAGGGGCCTATTATGACTGCACTCTGAAAGATGCAACAAGCAGCTCAAAGAGTCAGATGCAGATATTTGAATCCAACCAATAACAAAAGCTGCTGACCCCTATGGTTGAATTACGAAAAGGCTGGAAGAAGCTGAGAGGAGGGCGACCCTGTAGGAGGAGGAGCAGTTTCAATTGACCTGGACCCCTCAGATCTCTCAAACACCAACTAGGCATAGTACACCAACTGATATAAGGCCCCCAACACGTATACAGCAGAGGACTGCCTGGTTTGGACTAAGTCAGAGAAGATGTACCTAAACCTGAAGAGACTGGAGGCCCCAGGGAGTTTAGAGGTCTGGTTGGGTGGGGGTGGGAGGTGAGGGGTGGGGACATCCTCATGGGGACAGGGGGTGGGGAGGAGGTATGGAATGTGGAACAGTCAGAGGGTGGACTGGGGAATAAAATCTGGAGAGTAAATGAATAAATAAATAAAAGACAAAAGAATATCATTTTAAAAGATTCCTTCTAATTTTTTCTCCACTTTCAAGATTCTTTTCTGAGACAATCACCAATCCTCTATCTCTATATGACATGATTGTGTAGCTTAACAGGTTATTTTGGTACACCTAACAGTAGGCATCAGAGGTCCCTCTGACTCTTTTACCTGATCTTAGAATCTTTTGCCCCCTGCTGGCTAGGCTCCATCCAGAATTGATTGGAGGACTTGTGTTTAGTTTTTTTGTAATTTCTTCTTTTTATTTTTTACTCTTCTTTTTCTTTTTTTATTAGATATTTTATTGATTTACATTTCAAATGTTATCCCCTTTCCTGGTTTCCCTTCTGCAAGCTCCCTCTCTCATCCCCCCTTCCCCTATTTCTATGAGGGAGCTCCCACCTCACTGCCCTAGCAATCCTCTACACTGGGGCATCAAGCCTTCACAGGACCAAGGGCTTTTCCTCCCATTGACCCCAGATAAGGCCATCCTCAGCTACATATGCAGCTAGAGCCTTCTTTCTTTTCAGCACTGCCATCATATTTTGCCCTGGATATTACCAAGATGTCACAGTCATTTACCTGGCATCATATTGATGTGACTTCTGTCTGTCCAGATGCACACATAGACATTCTTCATGATGCCTCCCTGAATTATATTTTCTCCTTTGGCATTTTCCTTACTCTTATCTCCAAGTAGGGTTTAGGCCTACCATACCAAAAAATGTACTATTTCAATATCTTGAGCATTCAGAAGAATCTTCTCAGATACTACCCCTTAAGATGTTAGAAATTCTGCTAAGAATTTACTACCTGGCAAACTGCTGCCATTCTCTATTAATAAATGTTCCAATGTGCCACATTACAGAGCTGTATACACTGTTTATGTCTCCATAGGAACTTTCTCACCTTCAGAAATGTGGCTCAACCCATCATTTTTATTCCTCTGGATTATAGAAAAGTTTCCAGGTGGAAGATAAGAACATATTTCATGTCATGAAACTTCTGTTTCATATTTTGGTAAAGTTTATGTGAGAAGCACAAAGTCATTATAGCACATTAAAACCAAAAATTTTACTCTAAGATGAAAATAAGAGTAGTGATCTCATTATTTCCCAAGTAGTAAAGATAAGCTGATTACTTGTTGTGATCCACCCACTTTTTGAGAAAGGATCTTTCATTGGCCTAGAAATCACCAAGTAGACAAGATTATCTGGCCACTGAGTCACAGGAATCTACCCCTCTCTGCCTTCTCAGTGCAATGGGATTAGAAGTGCATGCCATCATACCTGGATTTTAAAATATAATTTCTAGGAATCAAATTCAAATCTCCATGTTTGCATAGCTAACACTTTATTTAATGAACTACTATATTCATGCAAAACTTTTACCTTTATTGATCAAAATGTACATATTGTGGCTATATTTTTTTATCTGTAGGTATAGATATAGCTTTAGATATAGGTTCAGGTACAAGTACAGATACAAATCAAATATATAGATACTCATATGTTTGGTTATAGTGTGATGTAATACTATAACCAAAACTAATTTATTTTCAGTGGTAGAATCTAAGACTATGCAGGATTCATAGCATTGGAAAAGTGAATCAGGAATCTGAGACATCACATCTCAACTGCAATCAAAAAATAAGGGGAAAACTGAAAGTAGGGCAAAAAAATAAACTCTTAAATTCACCCCCACTGACATATTTACTCCAGCTACTCTGTAAATCCCGAAGATCCATGGATTCCCAAATAGCATCCCCTCCTAGAACTCAAGGTATAAAAACTAAAATCCAATACTATATTTCTCATTTAATCGTTTTCATTTGGCCTACTGTTCCCTATAGGCTCACGGTATGCTATGATGCAAAACACATAAAAGTCTCCATAGTCTTTAATTGTCTCTATGCTGTTCAAAAGTTCAAAGTTTCTTCTGAAACTGAAGTCAATCTATTATACCCCAGTGTAAAATCAAAACACAGATTTATATACTTCCAGCACATGTTAGGAGCGAATATACATTATAATTCCAAAATGGAAGAATGGAGGTATAGCAAGGAAATTCTGAAAAGAAGCAAGACTGAAATCCAAGAGGTCAAATACCTAATCATATAAATCAATGAATGATGTCTGAACATTTA